TATAGGTAATATCTGATATAAAACTGTATACTTTGCCCGTAACATATATATATCACATTATTAATATGGATTGAAATAATTTGATAAATTAGAAAGTTTTTAAACACACAATGAATTTTACGGTAAGAATAACGTCCGACTCATTGAATTACCGTAACTTTCGTACTTATACGGTATGTCGTTATCATATTCGAATAGTCATCATATCAATGTTGTAATTTTTTTATTACGTTTTGTTTACATTTTTATTTATAGATAGACCACTGTTCACAATCATACGAAATATGATATAAGACTTATATTAAAAGACTTAAGTCATCTTCTGTATTAAATCGTAAACGGTCTTTTTTTATGTAAAGCGTTCATACTAAGTAAATTATTTGAATTTATGAATTTAATATATATTTAAATGAAAAAAAAATAAGTTCAACAATAAAATAATTATTGTTAAGTGTTATCAATTCAATTTGTTAAGATGAGATCATTTATTGACCACTAATATTTATAAAATGTCGATAGTCCATGATATAATCGATCAAAAACAATGGCTACCTGTTAAATTTTAAAATAACCGATTACGAAAGTGATATTCAAAGCGAATGCGTACAAACGTGTTTTGATAAATAGCGTCAACGGAATTTTTAACCGGTGTTGTACAAAAACTCTTTATTGCCTTTTTAAATTTTAATCGGATCATCAGTTTGAATTTAAAGTCACCGTGAGCAGTAAGTAATTGATTTGAAAATAATTATAACAGCTTTCAGCTGTGGTTGTCTTACAATTATTAGATTTTAATGTTTCAACATACAATTTATTTGTTATTGCATCGTCAAACTGCAATTATCTCTCCCCGGAATGTTAGTAACAAAACCTTCCATTCAGACCGGAAAATAAAATATTTATTAGGTTAGGTTAGGTTAGGTACTACGATTTTTTTTTGTTGCTTATTCGACTTTGTTATATGGAAGTTTTACTATATTTGGAAAATTATATCTCAATTTAGACATAGTACAAAGTAAATCGTTATCGATACGACGAAAGCGTAATATTTTGAGGAGTAGGATTCCTATAATAAATAATAATATAAATATTTATTATCTCTATAGTTATTGTTTAAAATTCGAAGAAAAAAAGTATTTTTTAAAAAACACGGATTTAAAAAAAACTAGAATTTTGCCCCTTTCTGGGGACCTAAAGGCTAATACCTATGTCCAGGGCCCCGCAATACTAGCATCGGCACTGTTTATATGCATTAAAAAAAAAAAAAAAAAAATGACCACATAGTACACAAAATAAAACGTGTCCATCGAATGTAAATGTATCTTTAAACTCCTAACAAAACTTTGTAGTCGGCTACGTGTAGACTGTTGTACTTTCGGCATTACTCAATGTTACAAAATATATGTCTACAACGTTTTACGTATGATTCGACGTGGTGTGATTGCAAGACGCAAAAACGACAGATAATCGACGGAACTGAATACTAAACAAATAATCTATTATTCTATATCAGCGGTCGCCAACCGGTGGTCCGCAAAAAAATTTAAGTGGTCAGCAGAAAAATTTGAACGTTAGGTACTTACAGAATCGTTATTTCCCAAAAAAATAAGACCCTAGCCATGGTATTATGTGAATAATAGATCCATTACAGCAAACAATGAAAATAACAAGTTAAACATGACTGAAAAAAAATAC